ATTATTGATTTTAGCTCTCCAGAATATTAATTTGAGGATTTTCTAAAGAAGACTAATAATCCTCGAAATCACTTGAAATCAAGTAGAAGTTATCCTTGACTGAGTCAAAGATGTCCTTAGAAAAATATTCATGAATGGGGCTTGTTAAGTGCAAGATTTTTTTCGATTTTAATTCTGAAATTTAACTCACTTGAAAGCGTCCAAAGTTATATTTAAATTAAATCTTAGACTTACACTGACCTCTTGTGATCGTCTAAGCTCCTAGTTTCTGAAATTGGCGAAGGCGTATTTAATTTTGGTTTAGAGGGCAATTTGAAAAACCTAGACTTCATCCATTTTAAGAGGTAATTAATTACTCGAAGAACTGAGACAAGGTTACGGACTGGAAATCAAAACTACTGAGCAGCTTAACTATTCACAATTTTCTAACTGTCATTTAAATACAATTTTCTAATAATGAAATAATGAGCCTTATTCAAAAGGAAGTTGAACTAAAGTAAAACTATAGTAATTATTTTATTGTATAATTACAGAGCTTAAATTCAAAAAATGATGACAAGAATTAAAATAATAATCGACAAAAATGTTAAGCGAATAATATGAGTTAAGAATCATAATTAAGAACCAAACAGTTTCTTACTCTAATTAATTTACACGACCACGCGAGTTTTAATGCTTCGCTACTCATGAAATCGAGTACGTGTGTTATAATCTCAACCTCTAATTGCACATCAACAAGGCCTGCAACAGCCACGTTCAACAAAACATCAGCAGACACAGGCACAGTCACAAACATGGCCAGCAGAGTAACCCGCTGAGCAAGAACAGACGCAGGCACATGAAGGCCCGCACAGCAGCAGCATACGCACGCACCAGGGTAGCCTGCAGAGCAGCAGCATGTACACGCACCAGAACGGCCTGCAAAGAGGTTTGTTCTGTTGAATGAAAATGTTTAAGCATGCTGTTAGTACCAAAAAAAATCTTTGTTTTCATAGGCAACGTGCCATATCACAAAATGAGCGTTGATCTAGAGGGAAAAAGTGAGCACTGCTTAAGTAACGGTGACGATGGCCAGGTGACAAACTGAGCCTGGAAGTAGTAAGCAAGAGAATGTACTACTTACCGAGGCAAAAATGGTAAATGGTAGATTAAAAAGCCATAGTGAGCTAAAGACACAGCAGTTTTTTTCAACAAAATATGGCTCAGCTTGAAGTTCAGCAAGAAATCAGCTGACGCCAGTTGAAGCACGAGCACTTGAATAGTATGAGTGTGTGTGTATAAACATACTATGTTGTATGTAGCACAGTGGTGCTAAATAATGCAGAAGGCGTCCTGGCGCACCGACTGCGTCTACTTGCTCGCTCCCACGAAAAAGAAGTAGGCTAAGATAGCCAATAACTTCAGCTCATAACTTTTTAAGGATCAAAATGGCTAGAGCTCCACATGCCATCACGCACTAGCTCATCTAAGCAGTTGTCGTCCTCTCTCTTCCTTGATGGGGCTCGGAAAACGATGTTGAGGATTAAACCCTAAGTATAGGGGACTGTATTGAGTAATGTTGCAACCAGATACAGTTTAGAGAAAGAGGACTACGGGTCATTTAGTTGTTAACTAAAAACACTAATAACTTAACGTACACTCTTGTTGTAACTTAAACAAGAAAATATATTATACTATAAAATATGAACATAAGTAATAACGTCACTGCTTTGTGTATAATAAGTAAACTTAGTCAACCAAATATTATCATTTTTAATACTCTCCATAAAAAAAAGGAAGGGTGCAAAAAGGGGGCAAACATAAAAAGGTTTTTGCACTTTGAGTACATATAATCTAAAGGGCGTAGCAGCGCGAACTGCTCGCGAGAGTAGACCGATGCGACGCGTGACGTGCAGCAGCAGAGAGCAAGTTGAGGCGGACAGACTTGTTGTCAAAGAGATGCCATGATTGGTTGTAGCACACGGCCTTTTAGCGCAGACATATAAGAGCTCGTGTACATTTTCGATACAGCGCACAAATTTAAACTGCGTAACTTGAGATTGATGTTACACACTGAGTATTAGAAGAATTAAGTTTTATATTTTCTTTTTTTGAATAGAGATGGTGTAAATTTCTATCTAATTGTACGAATATTTTCAGTCATTCAATTCATAAAAATACTAAAGATAAAAAAATGTCGCATATTAAATTGTAATAATTTTATTTGCATTTGTAATATTGAATAAATCTCACACAAATGGGTACTGGAAGTGAATGGTTTATTACTAAACAGTGTATTATCATTATTTGATAAAACCTGTAAAGGTGATCGATTAATGGTTTCTTTTTATTTTTTTTTTTTTTAGTGATACTGGCACTAAATACCAAACAATAACATCAATTTTGTGCAAATTTTTCTTACTTCATAGAACTGCCTAGTAGAAACTTTAATTTTTTAGCGTTCTTAGATTGGATGTAATTCAAAAGTTCTGTGACTTGTCATTTCTTCAGAAAATAATATAGTGGTAATACGCGTCCATCGTATTTTATACAAGGTTTAGTATTTTTGCCTTGTTAACTAAAATACTAAATGATTGTTGTGTATAAAAATGTTGTGCTATATTCTCGTGTACCACAGACAGACAACTTTACTTTCTACGATTTTATGATCTCTTGTGAAATACATTTTTTTTTTTTTAATCTATTGTTCAAAACAGTACCAAACATATTTTTCTTAAGTTACAATATATTATGAGGAATAGGACTTTCGTACTTCGTTTTGTGGCTCAGGTATTCCAAAATCTTTACATGATAAATCAATATGTTATACACTTTTGTTTAAATGTAAAGAAGTGTAGTTGTCATGGTCTGCTTATAATTTTGAATGAATTAGTTTTCAATTTCACATCAAATAATGTTTCCTAAAATATTTTCTCATATTAAAATACATGTAAAATATGTTCGCAATAAAAATGGCAACATGATAATACAAGCTTTTCACAAAAATTTTATTTTTTGGAAATTACCAACGAAGCCAATTTGAATTACAGTTTCTTAAGGTTCCATAACATGTCCTGTCATAAGCTTTTAAATCATAGAAAGATTGTTTTCCTTTTACTTTATTCAACATTAGCTTTCGAAAAAATATTACTCGATCCATAATGATATTCTGTTTTCTGTACTTACAGCAACATTTTTTATACTTTTTGCTATTTTAGCAAAAGTCTTAAAGCTAGTTAATGAATGCTTACTATTCTAAAATTTTAATAATTTTTATGGTACATACTTACGTTTAATTAAACGGTAAAAAAGCTGCGGGGTGGGGCTGTTGGACATCATGTGTAAATACGAAGGAGTACGAGGGCGAATATATTGAAAACAAGGTAATAAGTACAAGAATTTTTTTTCTATTTTGTGGGAAAGAGAGGCATAAAAAGGCTGTTAGGATACGTGAGGCCACTATGAAAGGGACCAGATAAAATTTTCCAAGTTTGTGGAGGGGGGGAGGCTATACTACACTTATAAGAATAAGAAAAACAAAAATATTTTCATTTTTGTTACAAATACCATTGAGATACTAATAATTTAAATATGGATTGGCTAGATAGAGGTAAAAAGAGAGAAAGAAAAAAAAGGAGATGTTACTTTTGCTTCTTACAAATTCTGTGTGTAATATAAGACGATGTAATTATGTATTGCCGTACTTAGTAACCAATAATAATCCTTTTAAGCAATATTTTATACTTTGAAGTTCTTGTTTTAACCGCTGTAAATGCGATGTAAGGTTAACAGGAACGGAGGAGATAATTAATGTGCTTATAACTTGATGTATTTTTAAAAATAACAAAAATTGTGTGAATAACATAGGCTGTGTTGCGACGTGACTTAAATTTGGTTGTCTACATAGACAAAAATATTTAAAAAATGCAAAAATACCGAAAAAAATTCTAACTACAAATAAATTATTGTTTTACGATTCAGTGAGTAAAACTTCAGGTCACATTGTGGTGCATTCTAAACAATGCTAACGTTAAGTATAAGCAAAATATCAACTATATAGGCAGTTTGTAGGATGCAAAAGCGAGTACACGACAATGGGGCTTAAACCAAATTGGCTGGGAAGACTTTTTTTTTTTTTTTAAATAATGCTCCCAAATCTCCCAAAAATTTAGCTGTATGTTTTGCTGATAACATTATGTTTTAGTTAACAAGACCTTAGTGGCGAAATTAGTAACGCGTTTTTCTAGCAAGAAAGATGTCCAGGTTTGAGTCCTGAACGAGGTGGTACTTTTTTGAAATTACTGTGCATGACGATTTTTGTACAAATAAGTAGTTTTAACTCAAAAATGAGTTGCCCAGGCAAACTCGTATTAGATAGAAGATTTCGATGAATTCAGTTACTTGCATTAATGCTTCCTCATCGATAAAATTAGTTAATTTTATAATATTGTGTATATCATATTATGTTTTAATTTTCTATTAACATCTCTGCAATTCCTGTTTCTAGATACTAATAAAGGATGTTATTAGATGTAAGCTATATGCTTGACTTCAATCAGAAAACATAAGTCAAATAAAATATTTTTTTTTCTTATTAAACTAGTACAATTTATGGTAATAATATGGACATTATTTGAAATAGGCTTACTTACTTTGTATGATCTACATTGAATCTGAATTTCAATTCTGATGTCAAAAAGATATTTTGTATAGGTAACTGTAATATTTGAACATAGATGTATGCATATTTTATTCTCTCCACTGAAAAATAACAACCATAATTTGAAAAAAAAATTACTGAAGCAAAAGAATTTTTTCGCTAATAAGATTCATAAACTATCTCTGACATACATACAGTTTGAGTATTCATACATACCTGCTTAAATTCGCACATGCACACACACATATATCTCATTGAAGTTACATTGACATGAAATTTCTATACAATATCTTGCGCTTTATTGAAACGACTACATGTTCACTTGTATAAAGACATTTAACAATTAACAATTTTTTTATAGATTGGATCTTTGACAAATTACTTCTTATTTGAACATCAAGAATTGAAAAAGCGATCATTTTTTATCAGTGGACATCATCACAAGGCTCTCCAAGAGGAAAAGCACGTAAGTTTTTTTTTCTTCATATAATTCTTTGCTGCTGTATGTATTTTCAACTGTGTTTTGTTGATTGTACTGAGCTAATTTCAACCTGACTCATTTTATCCATGGCATAAAATAAGAGCCATATTTTTCCATGCTGAATTAAAAATTATTTTAATACAATGTAGATAAAAAAACTATTCTTTAAAAAATATCTATTGAATTAATCATAGCATTATTTTAAAGAGTTTAAAAATTGCGATGAAAAGTATATCTACGGATTTGAAGAAATTTTGACCCACTTGGTAAAAAAAGTATACTCCACTCAGGAGTTTAGGAGTGAACTGCCCTATTTCCTTTCCGACAAAAGATTTATTCAGTGCTCGTGGCAAAATTATTTCTCTTCCTCCGTTAATTTGCTAACCTTAGTTACTTGAATAATTTTTTCCATGCAAACCATGGACATCTTGTTTGTAAGCAGTGAATTCAATTTTTTTATAAAATATTTTGTCGTAGAAATACTTTCGAAGAAAAAAATCATGATGTTTTTATACAGTGAAAAGAAACTTTACTTAGATTACGGGTAGAATGTTGTGATTTAATTTAAGCCCTTGAATAAGTATGTTTCAATACCTTCTATACATAAAGAAAAAAATTAGTTTGCTGACTCTTGTCCTTCAAAACGACTCCGTTCCTCTAGAGTTCCACTACAAGTAATCATATACGCAACTATATTGTAGCTATCATACACATCAAAATAAATGGAATTTTACCCCCATCTTATTTCCTTCTGTCACTTTCTTACCAGAAGATAAGAACACCAAGAAGAAACGATGAAATAATATTTCTGATAATGTTGATGATCGAGAGCATAACGGTAACGGTAATGGTGATACAAACAGGCTTTTACCGCTTTTATTAGTCAATCAAGTAAGTAAGCTAATTAAGCAGACCTATGAAAATCGCGACGCACTGCTTATTCGCCTGGGCAACGGCAATTAGATTTAGGTGTTGATAAAAACATCAGAGTAGTGATTACGTTTTTCTACAATTTCCGTAATAAGATTGCAAGTACCTGTACATGGAAGCTGCATGAGGAGCAGTTGCTCCATTTTTGCTGTGATGCCGTCAGATAATCATTTAATCGCATTGACAAATCTACTCTGTCTGTGGCTTTTATGCTTCAGCAGTGTGTGGGTGACGCCCTATCTAAAAATGAGGTACTCGCAAGACAATTGTACGTGGTAGTGGTAGGTTCTATGTAAGCTAAAGCTAGTGATAGCATTATGCTTGGACTAGGAAAGCTGATTGTCATAACACAGATAGATAGAGTACTTATTAGCACTAGCATTAGCAGAGAAGAGGTCTATTTTACGATGAATAACGCAAAAAAAACACTATTAAACAATATTAACGAGGCCCACTTGTACATATGCGTTAAGCACGTCAATAAAAAAAAAGTAGGAAAGTGGTGATAGAGAGATAAAGAGGTACGCGAGTCATTTTCAAGCATTATGGTATTGATCACGGTCAGTCTGGAAGTTGAGGGCATGCAGCAATATACCCAAGAGTCTCTACTTTGAGAACAACTCTATTGTCATGATTTCTTACTAAATAATTATGTTAGACGCTAGGTAACCAGCGCTGACAACGCCACCTGTTGGCAGTCAATTTGAAATGCGGTGTCGCACAAGCGAGTACGCCTATGGATAGCCACGCTAAATAGACCGTTGTATTTTTAATTTTGGTAATGAATTAGGTATTTATAAGGTAAAAAATGTTTGTTGTTGATTGTACAAATTCAAAAACAAGAATTTCTCTTTTTAAACAAGTTTTTTAATTTACAGCCTTACTAATATTTCTGTAATTGTTGATCTGATGGCCTATTCCAAATCATTGGCTCTCTAGTTTTTGAACGACTACTTTCTTAATTTACCCAAATGCATATTGCTGCTAGTTGTTTTTACAGACTCAATCCTACTTTACGATTGCATAAAGACTTTTTTCAGTCCGGTATTCATGTAGCTAGCAAAGTATGATAATATAAAATTAAATGCTATTAAAACAACGATTAAAACATACTTTATAAATTTGTGAGAACAATTGTACAAATGATTCTTTATTTTTTTGACAAAACTTGAAATTTATGTAAGCAAAATATTTATGTACCTTAGTTTTGTATATCTCTATTGAAACATTATACTTATTAGTATTCGACTTTTTGCTTGCAGCTCCAGGGTTTTTTTTTTTTTTTTTAATTCGTCCTTTTAAACAACGAATCTAATCGTCTCAAATTTCCTCTAAAGTATTACTAACAAATGAAAACTTTCAACAAGTTTACAATCTTTTGAGATGCTTTTTTTTGCGAAAAACGTTGGTTTCTAATTTTTGAATACCTGATTTTAAAGTAACAACCATATTTTTACCTCTAAAATTTATATTTTATTTCAAATTTACAAATAAAAAACGTTGTTTTCTATTAGCTTTGCTATGACATACATGTTTTGACGCCACCGCTATTCAAATGAAAAATCCAGGAGATGGCGTTGCTGGTTCGCGCCAAAGATAATTACCTATCGTATAGCTAATTTTACATAGAATAATAAGAAGCCATACTTAGCTTGCAATCGAAGACAAAAATTAATGCCTCGCAGTCAGGCTTGGCGAGACTTCAGGTAATTTGGTGTGAAATAAGTAATACTGTTCCGAGGACTTATAAATAAGGTACAAGTGCCTGCAAAATATGGTCAAAATGGACATCAGGGATGCAATAAGAGTTTATCATTGGCACCGATTCCAGAATTATTGAAACGCAACAAAGAGATTAAATCTTATAAAATGAAGTAAAAGAACATGCTGAATCAACTAGCTGTGACTCCAGCAAATCTGAATTAACACTTGATTGCTTTGGGAGAGGCTGGCTAGCTCCCGTATCTGACAATGGTCAAAATTTTGTTGGATGATTAGTTTTACATCAGGCACATGAAGCCTAAGGACGTGCTGAGTAGGCTTCAGGCTGATCAGTCCACTACTGATACTGGTCAGATTTTTAAGTCAGTGTTTCCTGGCGATTTCCTCCATCCTGATAAGGATTTTCAAGGTGACGTCGAGGGAGGTGAGTTTTCAGAGTTGTGGAAGCATACGATAGTTAGATCTATACCAAAGAAGAGACGTACCAGTAAATTTAACAATCCCACCCAATCAGTCTTTTTTATACGGTGGTGAAGCTCTTGGAATACGTTGCTCTGCACGAAATATTGTATACTAAGTACAGTACATCAAGCACTGCTAGATCTTAGACGGATTCGAGTTAGACTACAACACACTCTCTGCTCTACTCAGAATATGAGATGACACCTAAATAGCAATAAAGAGGAGATAGATATCACCGCTGATGGTAATAGATCTGTCCAGTGCCTTTTATATAGTCCACATTGATCTTCTGGTCAACAAACTAATCAGTCTGGGATTGTCTTATCCAATGGCGTCCCAGGTTGTATCGTAGTTTTTGTTGTCCATGCTAGTAGTCATGGTTCGTGCTTTCACAGGTTCTTTTTCTGATGATCAAAGTTACGCTGGGCAGTTTTCTTACACCTCAGCCCTTCTCACTTCTGTGGTCATGACTACGTCTCTTACGTGGATGACACATATTTTCAGCTATATGGTGAAGCAAGAGACGCCCCACTAATGATAAATAAATCAAATGCCATAGTGAGCAGAGTATCAACATCGGTCAAATTCAACAGACTTGAAATATACTTTTAAAATTTAAGCTGGGTACCCGTGCCTATGGGCGAGGATTGAACGAGAAAGGGCATTTTCCGTTAGTCGAGAGTACTAAAGGCATAGCATACTTACTTCTTCTATCAGGCTTCTATACATGATGCTGTGTCTTATTACAAAGTTTCTAAGATCAGACACGCCTAGTTACGTAGTTAAGCAGTTTCAGTTGAGGATGTAGATTCACAATAGTGTGTAGTAGAGAATAGGTTCTAGTAAACTGTAAATACCTCAAGCTCGACTCAATATATTTGGGTTATCGTTCATGGTGTGTGCAGCGATGCAGTAGACAAATTACCGTAGTATACAGTCGTGTATGAAACTACATACATTGCCGCACGCAGCTCTCTCTTCCTGTGCGCGCACCGATGACTTCGGCGGCTCTTTTCTCTTCTGCCTTCTTCGGTTACACTCGGCTAGTTACTTCTTCTTATGCCACATGCCGTCAGCACTACACTTACAGCAGCTGCTGTGACTACACATGTATGGAAATTTTCCTGCGCTTGCCTGACTGCCTATACAAGAACTGCACAGGCAGATCCGATGCCTGTACTGGACACGTTGCTTCCATATTTGTACAACTTTAATTTTTAACTACAATGGAGTGTGTAAATAATTAAATACAAGTTAAAGACAGTGATAATGAAATCAATTAAGTTACTACTCAAAATTTTTACTATCTGCCTTTCTTAAATAATGGCAATTACATAACAACTTGTTGCTGCGAGTGATCGTTTTAAAGAGAGGAAGACTTGTTTGATGTGAACTTTGATTAAAGTTTTGATAGTAGATAATTACTGTTAATTTTTTTAAACTAAATAAGTATCATGAATAAAATAACATTAACGTTATTATTTTTATTTCGTACATAGTAAAAATATTCACAAATTTTTCAGTCTTACTCTATTAACTTGATACTGTATTCTAAACATTATTACTGTTAACAGTAAACGAAAATTAAGTTTTCGGTAATGGAAATTCAGATTAACTCGAAAAAAATATGTTGTAGAGAATCAAACAATGCCAATCAATTGTAATAAAATCGAGCAAAAAATGTTTTCTGCTAAGGCTTCAAAAAAAAAAAAAAAAATGTCAAAAATCGTAAAATACTTCAATCAATCTTTTTACTTGAAAAAAATGTAACTGAGGCACTCAATGAAAATAATGTCATTTACCACATATTATGTGCAAATTTCAACTGCTGTTATGTCGGTCAAACATCGAGAGCTGCAAAATTAAGAATG